ACAACGTTTCGGCCTTTCAGTATCTGTCTATATTTCTGAGATGAGGTATTATGTACACTATTTACATTATTCGGACTATTGTCCTCATCTTTGTCGCCATATTTATTACAACGTTTCGGCCCTTCAGTATCTGTCTATATTTCTGAGATGAGGTATTATGTACACTATTTACATTATTCGGACTATTGTCCTCATCTTTGTCGCCATATTTATTACAACGTTTCGGCCTTTCAGTATCTGTCTATATTTCTGAGATGAGGTATTATGTACACTATTTACATTATTCGACTATTGTCCTCATCTTTGTCGCCATATTTATTACAACGTTTCGGCCCTTCAGTATCTGTCTATATTTCTGAGATGAGGTATTATGTACACTATTTACATTATTCGGACTATTGTCCTCATCTTTGTCGCCATATTTATTACAACGTTTCGGCCTTTCAGTATCTGTCTATATTTCTGAGATGAGGTATTATGTACACTATTTACATTATTCGGACTATTGTCCTCATCTTTGTCGCCATATTTATTACAACGTTTCGGCCCTTCAGTATCTGTCTATATTTCTGAGATGAGGTATTATGTACACTATTTACATTATTCGGACTATTGTCCTCATCTTTGTCGCCATATTTATTACAACGTTTCGGCCCTTCAGTATCTGTCTATATTTCTGAGATGAGGTATTATGTACACTATTTACATTATTCGGACTATTGTCCTCATCTTTGTCGCCATATTTATTACAACGTTTCGGCCTTTCAGTATCTGTCTATATTTCTGAGATGAGGTATTATGTACACTATTTACATTATTCGGACTATTGTCCTCATCTTTGTCGCCATATTTATTACAACGTTTCGGCCCTTCAGTATCTGTCTATATTTCTGAGATGAGGTATTATGTACACTATTTACATTATTCGGACTATTGTCCTCATCTTTGTCGCCATATTTATTACAACGTTTCGGCCCTTCAGTATCTGTCTATATTTCTGAGATGAGGTATTATGTACACTATTTACATTATTCGGACTATTGTCCTCATCTTTGTCGCCATATTTATTACAACGTTTCGGCCCTTCAGTATCTGTCTATATTTCTGAGATGAGGTATTATGTACACTATTTATATTATTCGACTATTGTCCTCATCTTTGTCGCCATATTTATTACAACGTTTCGGCCTTTTCAGTATCTGTCTATATTTCTGAGATGAGGTATTATGTACACTATTTACATTATTCGGACTATTGTCCTCATCTTTGTCGCCATATTTATTACAACGTTTCGGCCCTTCAGTATCTGTCTATATTTCTGAGATGAGGTATTATGTACACTTTTTATTTATATTATTCGGACTATTGTCCTCATCTTTGTCGCCATATTTATTACAACGTTTCGGCCCTTCAGTATCTGTCTATATTTCTGAGATGAGGTATTATGTACACTATTTACATTATTCGGACTATTGTCCTCATCTTTGTCGCCATATTTATTACAACGTTTCGGCCCTTCAGTATCTGTCTATATTTCTGAGATGAGGTATTATGTACACTATTTACATTATTCGGACTATTGTCCTCATCTTTGTCGCCATATTTATTACAACGTTTCGGCCCTTCAGTATCTGTCTATATTTCTGAGATGAGGTATTATGTACACTATTTATATTGTTCGGACTATTGTCCTCATCTTTGTCGCCATATTTATTACAACGTTTCGGCCCTTCAGTATCTGTCTATATTTCTGAGATGAGGTATTATGTACACTATTTATATTGTTCGGACTATTGTCATCTTTGTCGCCATATTTATTACAACGTTTCGGCCCTTCAGTATCTGTCTATATTTCTGAGATGAGGTATTATGTACACTATTTATATTATTCGGACTATTGTCCTCATCTTTGTCGCCATATTTATTACAACGTTTCGGCCCTTCAGTATCTGTCTATATTTCTGAGATGAGGTATTATGTACACTATTTACATTATTCGGACTATTGTCCTCATCTTTGTCGCCATATTTATTACAACGTTTCGGCCCTTCAGTATCTGTCTATATTTCTGAGATGAGGTATTATGTACACTATTTATATTATTCGGACTATTGTCCTCATCTTTGTCGCCATATTTATTACAACGTTTCGGCCCTTCAGTATCTGTCTATATTTCTGAGATGAGGTATTATGTACACTATTTATATTATTCGGACTATTGTCCTCATCTTTGTCGCCATATTTATTACAACGTTTCGGCCTTTCAGTATCTGTCTATATTTCTGAGATGAGGTATTATGTACACTATTTACATTATTCGGACTATTGTCCTCATCTTTGTCGCCATATTTATTACAACGTTTCGGCCTTTCAGTATCTGTCTATATTTCTGAGATGAGGTATTATGTACACTAATTATATTATTCGGACTATTGTCCTCATCTTTGTCGCCATATTTATTACAACGTTTCGGCCCTTCAGTATCTGTCTATATTTCTGAGATGAGGTATTATGTACACTAATTACATTATTCGGACTATTGTCCTCATCTTTGTCGCCATATTTATTACAACGTTTCGGCCCTTCAGTATCTGTCTATATTTCTGAGATGAGGTATTATGTACACTATTTATATTATTTTCGGACTATTGTCCTCATCTTTGTCGCCATATTTATTACAACGTTTCGGCCTTTCAGTATCTGTCTATATTTCTGAGATGAGGTATTATGTACACTATTTATATTATTCGGACTATTGTCCTCATCTTTGTCGCCATATTTATTACAACGTTTCGGCCCTTCAGTATCTGTCGATATTTCTGAGATGAGGTATTATGTACACTATTTATATTGTTTGGACTATTGTCATCTTTGTCGCCATATTTATTACAACGTTTCGGCCCTTCAGTATCTGTCTATATTTCTGAGATGGGGTATTATGTACACTATTTACATTATTCGGACTATTGTCCTCATCTTTGTCGCCATATTTATTACAACGTTTCGGCCCTTCAGTATCTGTCTATATTTCCGAGATGAGGTATTATGTACACTACTTACATTATTCGGACTATTGTCCTCATCTTTGTCGACATATTTATTACAACGTTTCGGCCTTTCAGTAGCTGTCTATGTTTCTGAGATGAGGTATTATGTACACTATTTACATTGTTCGGACTATTGTCCTCATCTTTGTCGCCATATTTATTACAACATTTCGGCCCTTCAGTATCTGTCTATATTTCTGAGATGAGGTATTATGTACACTATTTACACTATTCGGACTATTGTCCTCATCTTTGTCGCCATATTTATTACAACATTTTGGCCATTAAGTATCTGTCTATATTTCTGAGATGTAATGTAAATAGTGTACATAATACCTCATTACGAGACATTATGAGGAAAGACGGTCTGGAAAATTTGACACTCATGGGATATACTGAAGACAAGATGGACAGAGGAGGACAACGCAAAAACTCTCTAACGAATTTGTGTAAACTGTTGGCAGAACAGGCATAAGTTTATACAGCAAAAAGACAAATATTTCTAAGGGCTACAAAGGAGAGGAAGTTGTGGAGAGCCATGATCGACAACGTTCTGAAGGAATTCGGCATATAGAAAAAGAATAAAAAATATTTCTGTTCTTATAGCATTACTTAAGTTTATAAAATTATCTATATCGAATTTCGATATTTCGGATAGCGGCTCGGTCTGAGGAATTAGAGAGCCGAGTTCGAATTCCAGTCTAATCCACTGCATTCACTTACGTGCTAATACCCTTGGGAAAGGTATGACTCCTCTTCGTCTCCTTCCAGCTACGGGTAAATAGCAGGAGAGACCGGGTTCTATAGCCTTGGATAGCAACTGGTCTACCACAGAAAGAAATGGCAACCTGCTGCGGGAAAAAATCTTTCTCGTCAGTTATGTATCGAAAGATACATGATCGTCTAAGCGTGTATCACGTATGGCACATAACTGACTGGCTGATTTCACTTACGTGCTAATACCTTTGGAAAAGATATGAATCCTCTTCTTCTCCCCCCAGCTATGGATAAATAGCAGGACAGAACCTGGTTCATGATCGTGTATAACGCATATATCACGCATAGCACATAACTGACTATTATACATCGAGCACTGTTTTATTAACACCAGAACTAAATGAGTGATATTATGTTCGCATCAACTGTATTGCAAATGATTTCACTATAAGTGCTAATACCCTTGGGAAAAGTATAAATCCTCTTCTTCTCCCCCACTCCCAGCAGACCGAGTTCTATAGCCTTGGATAGCAACTGGTCTATCGCAGAAAGAAATAGCAACCTACTCCGGGAAAAAATCTGCCTCGTCAGTCATGTATCGAAAAATGATGTATCACGCATGGCACATAACTTACTGATGTTTAGTCTACCATCTTCAGTAGTACCTGTATTTTAGGTAGCTTCTGTCTTTTATCTCAGTGCAATTAGGGTCATAGTTCAGTTCCTATCCAAATTTATTCGAACCGGAAATGATTTTCCAAACTGTTATTTTACATATCGATTTACGTCCTAATTAAGACTTGTATTGATTTTCCTGTTGCAATCGTTTCTCGTTGATGGCCTTGGGGAAAAGTTCAGGATTCATCTCTTATTTTTAGTTATTGGTTAAATTGCATAGTGAATTAATCGTTCTAGTTTTAGGTGACAACTAGTCTACAAAACGAATAACTAAATCCAAATCAGTGCTGAAGTCATTAGCGAACCAATCCTTTCTAAATACGTCATTGCAATTCATAAATAATAATAAAAAAGAAAGAAATCTGAATAGACTAAAGCCGCTAGGAAAAGTGCAACCCTTCCACAGAGTACAGAGGTTGGTCAGTCACCCCACCCATGGAACAATTCGATTACAGAAACCTCACCAGGAGCTATATGCACCACGAGACATCAGGAAGATAACATAATATTTGATAGAGTAGTTTGTACCCGGAAATACACTTTATTCCGGATAGACAAATGCAATTTCAAAATGCACCTAATTGGCTCACCTTCAGTAGGGCGTGTCTGTCGGCTTTACTGTCTATGCCTATCGGTTACAAGTACCTCCGACTCATAGATAGAATATGTGTTCCTGGTTTTCCTAATATGGGTACAGTTCAAGTGATGGAAAGTTCTTCGCTAGTCTTTGCAGCTGGCGCACCCAGGATTCGAACGCCCCGTCAGGCAAACGTTATCACCAGAAATTCGAGTGTCGACATATTTTTGCGCGGACGCGCATGCGCGTGTGTATATGTGTTTTGTTTTATAAAAAAATAAAGATAAAAAAAATACTATAAGAAACAAAGGATATTTCCTTAATTCATTACTTTTATTAAAAAGTTTTCATATGTGAATCTTTAAATAAATTCTTATATTTTCACGGTTTTCCTATTTAAAATTTATGATTAATCTTAATTCTTAAGATAATGATCGATTAAGCGTATGGCGAGCTCTACGACGATAAAATATCCATATAAATTTTCCTATAGCATCGTTAAATATTTAAGCTTAACAACTTTGACAAAATATTGCTATAACAATCATAAGTATGAAGGCTTGTCGTTATTTTAAGAAGTAAGGGGGTACAAATGAAAAGATTTGAAATTGGGAACTTTTTCCATTACACTGAAACAGACGTCTATTTACTTTCTTTCTTTCATTTTCTCACTAAAACCAAGTAGCGTCTCTGATATGTCTTTTGTCTTTCCAGACGATCAAAATGGAATAGTGCATTATTTATTATCTATTGGCAGGGCGTAACGGTCGTGCGAACTAAAGAACTAACGAAAGGAGGAACAAGCACAATTATTATATGATAATTCTTACGAGGGATCAGTTTATTACTTAATAACAATATAAACCAATCCCCCATTTTATGTTCAGTAGAATCATGTATTAAACCAAGTTTAGGCATGTCATGAAAAAATGACAGCCTATTTTGTTAAGTCCTTATCGTTACTATTAAAAACATGTCACATGTGAGTTCCTTAACTATATTTTTTTCAATTATATTAAGATATAGTAATTCTGGCGGCAGGATAATTTTATTACATAATAACAATAGGAAACCGATCCCCAACTTTATATTCAGTAGAATCTTTTATTAATATAATTTTACTCATGCCAAAAAAATGAACGAAGATTTTTTAAAATAATTCCACATATGAGGCTCTAAATTTATTTTCTAATTCTTATATTAACAGTAGTAATTCTGGTGGGGGATCATTTTATTACATAATGACAATAGAAAACCGATCCCCGATTTTAAGTTCAGTAGAATCTTTTATTAATATAATTTTACTCATGCCAAAAAAAATGAGCGAAGATTTTTTATTACAATAATTCCATATATGAGGCTTTAAATTTATTTTCCAATTCTTATATTAATAGTAGTAATTCTGGTGGGGGGATCTGTTTATTACTTAATAACAATAGGAAATCAATCCCCGATATTATGTTCAGCAGAATCTTATCTCAATACTCGTTTAGCTCTGTCATAAAAAGTCCTTATTATTATTGTTAAGTCCTTATTAGTATTAGTATTAGTATTAATATTAAAAACAATTCACATGTGTCTCTTAAAATATGTTTTCCAATGTTATCTAGCGATTATTTAATTGCTTAATAACAATAGAAAACCGATCCCCCACTTTATGTCCAGTAGAATTTTATTAACTTACACATGCTGTCAGAAATAACAGCATATTTTGTTAAGTTCTTACTATTATTATTAAAAGCATTTCAGATGTGAGTCTTGACATATTTTTCCAATTCTGGTGAGGGACCATTTTGTTACTTAATAACAATAGGAAATTGATCCCCTACTTCATGTCTAACAGAATCATATTACATGGGTGGTCTGAAAGTCTTGTCACCCCTATATAATATAATTTTCCATTTCAGATGACTGACACGTGCTCCTGCAGTTTGGAAGAAAAGTAACGGTGACAAGACTTTCGGACCACTTTAAAGATGACGTCAGAAATGACATGTTTTGTTGAGTCCTCATTATTATTATTAAAAGCATTTCACATGTGAGTCCTGAAATAGAATGTTTCCAATTGTTATATAAATATGCAGGAATTCTGAAGGAGATCTGTTTATTATTTAATAACTAAATAAAATCAATCCCTCTTTTTATGTACCATATAGGATCTTATATTAATACTGTTTAATTCCTAGCCAAGAAGATGACGTCATATTTTAGCAGCTTTTCCATTCGGCTTAGGGTGGAAAGATAAATCAATGATCTGAGACTTGGCCGCTTAAAAGTTGAAGGAATACAAAGACGACATGAGACGTGGTAAACTTAACAACTTTATTCAAAACTCCGGTGAGATCCATTTGTTCCCAGCATTCCCTAGTGGGACCGGAAGTGCTTACGATCATCATCATCATTATAATCAAAATATTGATGTTGTTATTAGATCTTCCTTCCAAAGATAATTTATTTTCTTTATGAATTCATTTCTAATTTTTCGAAATTACAAAATAAATAATTACAAATCAAATAAAATCAAGAATGTTGATTATGATGATGATTTTAAGCACTTCCGGTCCCACTAGGGAATGCTGGGAGCAAAAAGTGATCCAGCGGGAGTTTTGAATAAAATTATTAAGTTAATCACGTCTCGTGTCGTCTTTGTATTCCTTCAACTTTTCAGCTACCCGTCGCATATTATTTATCTTTCCACCCTAAGCCTAATGGAACACGGTGTCAGGAGGGGGATGACGAAATTATCTGAAACTGACCGCTGAATAGTCCACTGAATAGTCGAAGGAACACAAAGACGACGCGAGACGTGATATACTTAACAACTTTATTCAAAACTCCCGCTGGATCCCTTTTTTGCTCCCAGCATTCCCTAGTGGGACCGGAAGAGCTTATAATAATCATCATAATCACCATAATCAACATTATCGATGTTGCTATAACGGTAGGGTTTTACTGTTATTAGAAAGGTTTTAAATATTTCCAATTCTTCTTGTGGCATTGTGACCTTTCACAGAGTTGACCTTCACATCTCTTAATTTAGTCAACATCTTAAAAAAGTTCACAATTCCTCATTGTTATGTCTAAGAAAGTGACACCTAGTGTGAACATTGCAATGATAATGGTTTTAATGCATGTGACAACATTCCTTAGAGGCAAAATATTTACAAATATACGTCGTATATGATATATATATAACTATTTACATTATTCAGATTATTGTCCTCATCTTTGTTGTCATGTTTATCGCAACGTTTCGGACGTTGTACGCTCCGGCCTTCTTCAGGTGATTGGAATGTCGAACTGAAGCCTTTATTTCACTCGCTGGGGTAGACTGTTCTACCTCCACGTGCCATGTCTAATATATGTCAGTTATCTCCTGTTAATTCCCCTCTGAAAGTTCTCCACTGCCTTAACCAAGTATTGGTTGTTGGTTTTCTGACAACTACATCTAATTAATTCCACACATGTCCGGCTACTGCGAAAAACTCTACGAAACAACATCAACTTCATCTTGGCACTTGGAATATACGAACTCTCCAGGGCAACAACTCAGCACCAGAAAGAAAAACAGCTCTGGTCGCATTGGAGCTAAAGAATACAAGTTTTCTATTAATCATCTTTTTGGAGATATTTTAAACTGAATTTAAAACCAGAAATTTTAAATTCACAGAGTTTTGTTTTACTTTAAACTCAATAGAAATTTAAACTGTTCCCTCATCCAGACAGAGATCCTAATATTGGATGTTCAAGCACCAGATGAAGGACAAATGTTCAATCCTGGGATCATCCTGATTTAAAAAGGTATAATATATATTTATATATATATATATATATATATATATATACAGAGAGAGAGAGAGAGAGAGAGAGAGAGAGAGCAAGTGTGGGCAGAGTTAGAGGGGTTTGCTGTTTATTTATTTATTTATATTGTATATACCGTAATTCCCCATGTATAATACGCACTTTTTTCTAAAAAAACAATAAGCAAAATTAGGGGTGCGTATTATGCACAGCTACAAAAAATCTTTAAAATATTGCCGTCATAGGTCGATTTCAGTTGCGAAATGACTACTCACCACAAACATACGACAATTTCACACTAACATTCGGCGATTGTAAGGATGTCAAATACAATCATATGTACTTAACAATACTTACAAATGTAAAATAAAATATGAATTATTATAGAAATAAATTAGAATAATATTATTCTACGTTTAAAACCATTTTTAATAAGAGTAGTAAACGCTGGTTGTAATGAGATTGGAGAGATACAATTTATAGGGTTTGATTACTAAACAAGGGGTGCATATTATGCGTGACTAGAAGCATTTTCCTACACTTTCAGTACGATTTCATTGGTATGTATTATGGATGAAGGCGTATTATACTTGGGGAATTACGGTAGGTTTGAAAACTTCGGCGCTGTTTGCCATCAGTGAATTTTAACCGGTTTTCTTTTATGTAGATGATTCATTCCAGGTCAGAAATGATAAAACTGAAAGGTGAGATAGCATAAAGATGGCGATAGGCAGGTTTCATCCCCAACCCTTCTTCCGGGTGACAGCTTTCATCAATTAAAGCTTCATTTCTCAATCTTGGCATTATTATAATGATTTTATGGCAAGATTAGTCGAATACTTCAGTCATTTTATCGACTATTTTTACCGCTTTTATGTAAATATGGACAAGCTAAAAAGATTTCTGGGTTGTCTTAGCTGAAGTTTTATCCATTACGATGAACTTTCAACACATCTGATAAAACAAGTAAATCAGAAATGATGATCTTCTATTTAAGGGATTTTATACTTTTTTTATAAGAATGAATTTAGAATGAGTACCAAGATGTCTTACAATTTCCGTGGCGTATCGTGTTCGAACCTCATAGACTGACTTATAAATAAGGCCTTATGCCAGACTAAAAGAAACTTTATAATCAATTTAGACTCTTTTTTTTTTACTTTATCTTTCTTTTCTGCTTTATTTTTACTTTCTTTCTTCTTCTAATCTTTCTTTCTTCTGTCATTCTTTTTTCTTTCTTTCTTTCTTTCTTTCTTTCTTCTTTCTTTCTTTCTTTCTTTCTTTCTTCTTTCTATCTTTCTTTCTTTCTTTCTTTCTTTATTCTTCCACTCTTTTTTCTTTCTTTATCCATTCTTTCTTTCTTTCTTTTTTCCTTTCGTTTTTCTGTTTATTTCTTTTTCTTTCTTTTTCTATCTTTTCATTTTTCTTTATTTTTCTTTTCTTTCATTTTTCCATTTCTTTTCTATAATCATTTTTTTTACTTTCCATTTTCTTTTCACTTTTTCTTTTCACTTTTTCTTTCTTTATGTTTCTTTTTTCTTTTTACTTTTCTTTCTTTTTTCTTTTTTCTTTCTTTCATTTTTTATACATCGTTTTCTTTCTTTTCTTTTTTCCATTTCATTTCTTTTCTTTACTTTTTTACTTTCTTTTTTCTTTCTTTTCTATCCTTCTCTCTTTTTTCTTTTTCTATTGTCATTCTTCCCCTTACTTTTCTTCTTTTTTACGTTGTTTTTAGTACTTCTTTCCTTATAATTCTCTGGGAAAATGCGTAAATCCATCTCTTTTTCCCCTAAGTATGGGTTAAATAACAGGGTATATTTCAGCAACTCTTGAGTTCCAAACCGTGGAGAAGGCACCGGGAAAAAGTATACAACCTTTCCCAAGAGCGCATGGTTTGGTTTGGTTTGATTTAGTTTGGTTTATTTTGTTTTACGGCATATCAACCTCAATTTATTTAATGCCAACAAGAGCGCATGGTTTTTAATGGTTTGGTTTGATGAATAGAATATGTATTCTTTGGTTTGGGTTTATTTGTTTTACGGCATATCAACCTCAATGGGTTATTTAATGCCGACAACATTTTTAGGATAGATTCGTATGAATAGAATATGTATTCTTTGGTTTAGATTGGTTTGGTTTATTTTGTTTTATGGCATATCAACCTCAATGTGTTATTTAATGCTGACAAAAATTTTATTGCAGGTAATATTTTGTTTTGTCAAAAATCTGTGTCTGGTAATATTTTTCCTTTAAAATTGTATTGCTGGTAATAATTTTTTCAGAAAAGTATTGCTTGTAATAGTTAACTATTTGCCCATAGCTGGGACCCTAACACGTGCTACCACCCCGGGTCAGGGTGGACCTGTGAACACCAGCAATTAAGTGGTTGTTCCACGCTCCTCAAATCCTCCTGATCACAGGCATTGTTACTGGACGTAGTTTAACGTCTTACCCAGGATGCGGATGTAGTTTAACGTCTTACCCAGGACGTCCAAACGCACATGGCAATTCACAGATAATAGATAAATAGGATATACAGACAGAAATGATCACCTACGTCCTGAATTTTGAAAAACTGCTTACTTACCAGACCTGTGCTTACCTATATAGTCTCAAGTATTAATCCCAAGAATATTTCCGTATAGCCTCCAGTATAAATCAAGCAAATATATATGGAAAGACCAGGCTTCGATGTTAGGATTTTTTCGTGCATCACGGCACAGATTTTGATTTTCCTTCTCCTCGTTTGTTTACCACCCAAATGTAACCAAGGCTAATCTATTCTTCTTCTTCTTCTTCTTGTTCTTCTTCTTCTTCTTCTTCTTCTTCTTCTTCTTCTTCTTCGTAGGCGATAATGACTTTCCACGGATCACGATTCTTCATTGTCTGCGAATTGCTGACTTCTTGGAAAGACAGTGGATTGGTTTGTCGTTATATTTACTTATCCTTCCCCTAAGCCGCGTTTGTCACTTAAGGCAAGAGAATCCAATCAGGTCTGTTATTTAACTCATAGATAGGGGAGAAAAGGATTTATGCTTTTTCAAGATCCTAAGAGTGTTCTACAAGGATTTATTGGTGGGCACAATCTTAATAATCTAAAGTAGGCATATAAAACCGTGTTGATGGCACACACACAATAAAAACTGAAGGACCTCCTAGACAAGGTATTAAAGAAAAACAGGATGGAAAGACTATCTTTTTTTAGAAGACATAATGTATCGCTGTCAAGTAGAAGAACAAGCCAAAATGCAAAGCTATTAATTGAAGACGTCAAAATCAATAAGTAAATGTAACTACCTGGTGGGCTTGATTTGGTTTGGTTTGGTTTGATTTGGTTTGGTTTGGTTTGATTTGGTTTGCTTTGGTTTGGTTTGATTTGGTTTGCTTTGGTTTATGGCATTTCATTGGGTCATTTAATACCGAAATTTAATTTTCTCGGGAGCATTAGTAATTTCTTTTACAAAAATGTATTGCTACTATTTTTTTTCAAAAATGTCGATTTTTTTAAAAAAAATGTCTTTTTCTCAAAAATGTCTTTTTAAAAAAATGTCCTTTTTTTTCAAAAGTGTTTTTTTTTTTCAAAATGTCCTTTTTTTAAGTATTGTTTTTATTTAAAATGCGCTTTTAAAAAAAAATGTCCGATTTTTTCAAAACTGTTTTTTTTCCTTCAAAATCTATTGATAGTAATTTTTTTTTTAAATAAAAATCTATCGCTGGTAATTTTTACTATAAAAATGTATTTTTATATTTTCGTAGTGTTTTGACCCCAATTTCCGGGTTCACTATTTGCTCATAGCTGGGACCCTAACAGGTGCTGCCACCCAGAGTTAGGGTAGAACTGGGAACACGAGCAATTAAGAGGTTCCACGCTCCGCAAAACCACTCGATCAGAAGCCTTGATGCTGGATGTAGTTTATCGTCATACCCAAGACACAGGTAGTGGGTCAAAAGACGATAGAAAATGCGACAGTAAACTCCAAAGTTGTATTGAAATAACAAAAGATACCTTTCAGATATTAACAATTCTATTAAGAAACAAGAAGATTTTGTCAGAAACAGCAAAAAGGATGTTGAATCGCAATGTACTATCGACCATCCTATATGACAGTGAATGCTGGAAAATTTCCTCACAGCTGAAGCGGAGACTTACAGCGACGACACAGAAACATGCTATGAATCTCATGGACGAAACACATAAGCAAAAAGGAAGATTTACGGAAAATGAAAACAAAAAGAAAGATTATACTTACAATTAGAAAGAGAGAGAGAGAGAGAGAGTTAAGGACTCATACTGAGGAAAGAGGACTTGGAGAATTTGACATTCAGAGGGACATATTAAAGTCAAGACGAACAAAAGAAAGCAGCAATAACCTATCAAACGAGATTGTATAAATGGATGGAAGAAGAGAAACTGGAAAGTATAATAATGGTAACAAAAACATTGTAGTGGATAGCGGCTTGGATTGAGGAATCGGAGAGCCGAGTTCGAATTCCAGTCGGATCCATTACATTCACTTACGCGCTATTACCCTTGGGAAAGGTATGAATCCTATTCTTTTAAATAGTAGAACAGAATTGGTTCCAATAGGCCGGTTGACTTGGGTGGCAGCCAGTCTAGGAGAAAATAACACTGAATTCAAAACTCTATGTAGCCCTGGCGTAGCATACACTATACAGCTAAAGAAAGGATCGTTCGCATTGGCTCGATGATCCCGACTACGCAAAGAAGAAGAGCAATAAAGAATAGGAAGATGTGGAGAGCCATGATCGACTACGTCCTGAAGGGACACGGTACATTAGAAGAATTAGGAAAACGGACAAGAATAACATGATCCGAATTTGAACTCGCTAATTGTAATTTCTGTGCTAATAACCGTTCAGCTACCCGTATATTTACGCTGTTTATAAGCCTAACTCCTTTTCCCCATCAGTTTTTCTTTTCTTCTGGCCATCATGTTCGCTTAACAACTGCATAATGGACGTACATCCACCATGGGGAAGTGAAAGCGTACTTTCCGTGAAAAGTCGGACAGAGAAATCAGTGAAAAACGTGATGGGGTGTGTGGCGAGGGGGGGTGATGTTAATGCAGATGCTGAGGTAGGATGATGATGTATTTGGGTTGAGTAAGAACAAAAAGAGACCATTCCACGCATCGACCCTTCTGATGCTCTCTCTCTCTCTCATTCTCTCTCTCTCTCTCTCTCTATTCCCCGCATCCCGTCATCCCTCCCTCCCCTATCTCGATCAGTTTTTCACCTCCCCACTTTCTTTCTCGTCTTTCCAGATCTCCCTGTTCACAATCGTCATACACTCCTTCCACCCAACACAACCCCACACCAATTTTCCCACCCCACATCTTTCGATTGACTGTTTCTCCTGATGTGATTCATTGACAGTCTGGGACAACAGAGACCATAATTAGTCATCAGCTCTTTCGAAAGTCTCTCTTTCTCTCCTTTCTCTCTCTCTCTCGCTCTCTCTCTCTCTCTCTCTCTATCTATCTATCTATCTATCTATCTATCTATCTCTATCACTATGTCCCTCTTTATAACTATATTATCTCAGTTTCAGTTTCTATCTATCTATCTATCTATCTATCTATCTATCTATCTATCTATCTATCTATCACTATGTTCCTTTATCTATCTATCTGTCTCTATCACTATGTCTATATTATCTGTCTCAAATTCTCTATATATATTTTCCACTCTCTCTCTCTCTCTCTCTCTCTCTCTCTCTCTCTCTCTATGTATCTATCTATCTCTAACCACCCCAACCTCTATCTCGATCTATCTCTGTCTAAATATTCCTCTCTTTTTAACTATCTATCTCTATCATTCTCGTTCTTGCTCTATCTTTACCCCGAAATACCCTTATCCTTTTCTCACTCATTCACTTTATCTATCTATCTATCTATCTATCTATCTATCTATCTATCTATCTATCTATCTATCTATCCTCTCTCTTTCTTTCACTCTCTCCATCTCTCACTTACTCACCCTCTCTTATATCAATCCCATTCAGCAACAATCTACTTTGAATGACTCTTAGGCCCTGTATAAGGCGAAAAATACCTAGAATTTAGCTGTTTTAAATTTTAGTTTTCAATGAAAAAGAAAAAAAACTTGTTAACTTATTCTAAACACAATATAAACGGAGTTGCGAAACAACTGGCCGTAAAGGCACACATAATTCTATACATACCTGTGAAAGCACGTGCGATACCTGTCCTCGTTACTGTGTTCACTATTTGCCCATAGCCGGGACCCTAACAGGTGCTACCACCGAGAGTCAGGATGGACCTGGGACCAGCAGCAATTAAGAGTTGGTTTCACGCTCCTCAGAACTTCCAATCTCTCGACCAGAGGGCTTGCTGCCGGATGTAGTTTATCGTCATAACCAGGATTAATTCAAAAGAGGGACAAAGACGCACACCATTTATATTTAATAGCGAGCTCCAGTTCTCAGGAAACTCAATTCCTACAAAATTGATATCATAGTATGTACTAACACAGGGACACCAGTATGTCCACACTATACCGATGTCAATGCTTAATCTTTGAAACAATTGTAAACTGTTTGGGGGATCTAGGTGCCTCTGTATACTGCAAACGCAGATAAATATAAGATCTCATTTCTGCACCAGGAGATTTATCGAGGTATTTTAAAACGGGAAAAGGCTGTACAAATATCATGACTAGTAATAAATGTATTAAATATCTAATTTTTCAAACATTTGTACATTCTATTCACAAAATGTATCTAATAAGCAAATAAATGTATAAAGACAATGTATAATGTTTGTGGCCACCCTGACATTCTTTTAAAAAACACGTTAACATGTGATATTTGATTTTAATTTGACAAAAAATAAGCACTTAACTATTAAAAATGATCATAAAACAGCATCATATTTTGTTTTCATCAATAAAACCACCAACTGCCTTAATTACTTCTTACAAATTCTTGGCATTCTTTCCAACAGTTTTTGAAAAAAGAAGAGCGCAAACCTTCCCAAGCATTCATCCAGCACTGAAAAAGCTCACTCTCACGCTTTGGGTATTCTCTTCGAACTCTCCTATCCACTTCACCCCGTACTTATTCAATGGAAGAGAGATGAGAGAGAGGTCAGGAGATTGAGGCATGTCATAATTTATACAATGTTGTTCTTTTATTATACGAGATCATTTTGACATAATTCAGAAGAATGTTTTGGATCGTTGTCTTATTGAAAGGTGATGTGTAAGCATGTATAGCATGCCTTCACAAAATCGAATGATATCGTTCTCCTTAATGATTCCCTTGAGCTGAATCATATCTCCAACCCTCTCTCCCTCAAAACACCTGCATATCATAACAGACCCGACACCATACTAAAATTGTTGGAACCACACATTCATCATTTAGTCATTCTCCTAGCTTTTTGTTTATTGACCTTCTGTACAAGGGTTTCTTGATGGCTATGCATATTGATGTCAGTTGATTTTTCACAGTTGAGAGCTACAGTGGTTGCTATCTAGAGGAATTAAGTTCAGCTGTCAAATCTCGAGCAGTTTTGCTTCTATTTTTATTTTATTCAATAACCAAGTGTTTATCTTCAACAGCAGTTGTTATTTTCGGTGCTCAATCTCTTTTTCTAACAACATTTGTACCAGTTTCTAACTGCCTTTGTAACAAATATTGTCCCCGCCATCCCCAGGTCTAGAAATGTTCAAATTCTTGGCAATTTGTCTTTGAGAGTAGCTTTCTCTGAATAAAATTTCAATTTTTTGCCCTCGCCTCAATGCTTAGCTGCTTTGATTTTTGCCATATTGTGCAAATTACTTCAAAATTAAAAAATAAATTTTAAAAATGATGAAAATACTGTCGTAATGGCACAGTCTTTTTTTTCTTCTTCAAACAGAGACAGCTCCATACGTGGGTCGTTCAGAAAGTTCGAAAGTTCACCCAGAAATAAGAGTTATAGCTGAATATTTTTGTTGTGGCAACACGCTACCACTATTTTTAACTAAGATCTTGGGGATGAGCAAACTCTCTGCAAGATGGGTCCTAAAAATGCTGACACCAGAACAGAGGCTGAAAAAGGTTGGACTTTCCAGGACATTTTCGGCTCACTTCCAGGTTGGCCCAGAGAATTTAAACCACAGATTAGTAACTCAAGATCAAACCTGGGTTCACCACTTCAATCAAAGATTCAAAGTAACAATAAAAAAAACTCTGTTTTTCCACCCACGAAGAAATTCAAGCAGGCAGCGAATGTTGGCATGGTGATAGCTTCTGTTTATTTGGGATTCTGAAGGTTTAATAAGGATAGACTGCCTGGAAAAGGGGGAAACTATTATTATTAGACAGTACTCTACGTCCGAATTAAGACAACCGAGAGAAATAATCAAGTCGAAACGCAGAAGGAAGCTGAAGGTAGGTGTGCTCTAACTCCAGGATAGCGCGTCCGTTCACACTGTTCGGGTTGTAGTAGCTGAAGCAGCCAACTGTTACTTTGAAATGCTACCCTATTACCCTTACTCAACAGACTTAGCTCCATCTGACTTTGTGTTTCCTAAACTCAATTCCCACTAGTGTGGTCATCATATTGGAAACAGTGATTAAATCATATGTGCTTTGGAGGAGTATTTGGATGACCTGGACGCCAGCTTCTTCTGTGATGGGATTGTGATGCTTAAGCATTGTTTCCTTCTGGATAAGGCTTAGAACTTTTTAAGCAACCTTTGTACATTTTACTTAAATCATTATTTAGTGATAAAATTTTGCTCCAGGTTAGCACGTCCGTTCACACTGTTCGGGTTGCAGTAGCTGAAGCAGCCATCCGTGGCTTTGAATTGCTAGCCCATCACCCTTACTCCATTTGACTTAACTCCATCTGACTTCTTCCTGTTTCCTAAATTCAAATCCCACCAGTGTGATCGCCATATTGGAAACAGTGATGAAATCATATGTGCTGTTGCAGGGTCTTTGGATGACCTGGACGCCAGCTTCTTCTGTAATTGTGATGCTTAAGCATTGTTAGACCAAGTCCATTGGTGTCAAGGGGTCCATATTTAAAAATTAGTGAAAAACTGTTTTGTTTCTTCAACACCTTCTAGATAAGGCTTAGAACTTTTTAAGCGACCTTTGTATATTTTATTTAAATCATTATTTAATAATAACATTTAGGACCTCTATTAACATTTAATTTAGCTAGTTAGTTTTGGAGATTAGCAATAGCTAATCTCCAAAACTCTACTGATATGCTAATGAGGAAAACTGAAAAAAAAATATATTATGTTTTTTTGTTTTTTTTTCAAAATACACATAATTTAGCAAATGATATTGTAAGACATATGAATCCAAATTTGAACTTTGTGACATTAAGAGATAGAATCTTGCAGGGCATGAGACACAGTTTATGGGGATACACAGATAAGACAACGGTTGACCCTAGACTTGAACAGGTTAAGATTGCAGTGATCGGGGAAGCATCCAGAAGGAATTAACGAAACAAGACATCTTTTCAGTATTTTTTCAATAAAGTCAACCTTTGATATCAATGCGCTTGCTCCACCGACACACTCTAATTATTAAAATTTTATCTTTTAATTTATAAAGGATACAAAAATATTTCATTTTAAAGGTTATTTTGTTTTTATTTTTATTTATTTATTTTTTTTAGAAATGCAGGTTTTCCCAAAACGTTTTGCCTGTAGTGTATCATTGTTAGTTATACTGACGTTGTGAAAATCGTGTGGATATTGTGATAAGTTCTATTATAAAGAGACAACAACGTTGCAGCCATCCATGAAAAGACCATATCCACCCATTCCTCGGACTATTACAGAAGATGTACATTAGTTATGCATTACCGTCTATGTGATGTCTTTGCAGATCTCCCTATCGCTACTACTGAGCATCTGATTCCTTTCAAGAAGATGCCAATCTCCGAGTTGCTGCAGTGGACGCCTAGCGCCACAAGCATGAATTACAATTTCAGTTCATGTATCAGATTAAAATGTACCTTGTTAATGCCCTCGATCCATCTGAAAGATAAACGAGAATATTAAAAGCTGGCGCATGACCCGTAATATTACGTACGTTCGTCTTCCCGTTAATGGCGTATTCTGAAATAATTTGCCGATGCCTCACCAGTAAATACCAGACTCCTCATGTTATCATCTACCTTTGCATGGGTCAGATCAGGCCGAAAATGGAGTACTGGTGCCGTATATGGCCTTCAGTTTCCCAGTCTTTACTCTCCAAACCTGGGCTAAACGTCGCAAGGCACTCGCTGCTCCAGCGTTATTTCTATAAATGCTCAGACGAACAAAATTCTTTGGCTCCACCAGTTCTAACCTCCACGGCCAATACACACACATTGTACCTAACCCCCCTCATTCCCCTCGTATTTCATTATTGAGATGTAAATTCAGACAGCTTCTTTCCACGACGCACTGCTTTGCGGAAGCGACTCTCAAGAGGATGCACCCCCCGATCACTACAATCTTAATCTATTTAGGTGTAGGGTTAACCATTATCTTCCCCTGTATATCTCCATAAACTGTGCTCCATGGTCTGTAGCATTCTACTTCGAGTGGCTCTTAGGCCTTGTACAGAGCGAACATTATGGTAAAGAAAGTTGGCATGAAAATTCATTATAATTTTTTCTACGGCTCATGGCATAGAAAAATTGAATAAAAAATTTAAAAAAACTGTAGTCGTTCTTCGATCAAATTTGCATACAAATTCTCTCTCTCTCTCTCTCTCTATATATATATATATATATATATATATATATATATATATATATATATATATATATATATATTTAAATAAGTTTTTTGGTACAAAATTTAAGGATAGCTAAGAATAAGCATGATTTATATGGCATTTTAATATATATTTTAAAGGCTAAAAAAAAAAACAACCGGTTTCGTCCCAGCCTTATCAAGTTTATTTATTTATATAAAAAAAAAATAAACGTGTAAATTTAATTGATATTAATGATAACAAATGGAGGGAAAAGAAAAAAAATATGATTTTCAAGAAAGCTAGAGTCCAAT